AGAAATAACCCACACATGTACAGGCAACAGATCTTGACAAGGGTGCCAAGAATACACAATTGGGAAAGGACAGATAGTCTCTTCAACAAATGGTGTTGAGAAAACTTGATATTCGTACGCAAAAGAATGAAATTGGACCCTTGTCTTATACACTATATAAAAATTAACTCAAAATGTATTAAAGACTTAAATGTAAAGTCTAAAACTGTTAAACTCCTAGAATAAAACATAAAAGCTCCTTTACAATCGTCTTGGTAATGGTTTTTTGGATATGACACCAAAAGCACAGGCAACAGAAGCAAAACAAAACAAAACAACAAATAGGACTACATCAAACTAAAAAGCTTCTACACAACAAAGGAAATAACAAAATGAAAAGGCAATGTACAGAATGAGAAAATATATTTGCAAATCATATATCTGATATGGGGTTAATATCCAAAATCAATAAGAAATTCATATAAACTTAATAGCTAATAACAATAATAATAATTACACAATTTAAAATGGGCAATGAATCTTAACAGATATTTTCCAAAGAAGACATGCAAATGTCCAACAGGTATATGAAAAAATACTCAACATCACTAATCACCAATGCAAATCAAAATCACAATGAGATATCACCTCACATCAGCTATGATAGCTATTATCAAGAAGACAAGAGACAGTGTTGATCAGGATGTAGAGAAAAAGGAACCCTTGTATACTGTTGGTGGGAATGTAGATTGGTATAGCCATTATGTAAACAGTATGGAAGTTCCTCAAACAATTAAAAAGAGAACTACCATAAGATCCAACCATCCTACTCCTGGGTATACATCCAAAGGAAATGAAATCAGTTTATCAAAGAGATATCTGCATCCCAACATTCATTGAAGCTATATTCACAATAGCCAAGATATGGAATCAACCTAAGTGTTTAACAATGGATGAATGGATAAAGAAAATGTAATAGCCAATGGAATACTCTTCAGCCTTAAAAAAGAAGGAAATTCTGCCATTTGTGACAACAAAGATGAATCTGGAGGACATTACACTAATTAAAATAAGCCAGACACAGAAAGACAAACACTATATAATCTCACTTATATGTGGAATCTTAAAAAGTTGATCTTGTAGAAGCAGAGAGTAGAATAGTGGTTGTGAGGGGCTAGGTGGTGGGGAAATTGGGGAGATGTTGGTGAAAGCATTCAAACTTTCAGTAGAAAGACAAATAAGTTCTGGGGATCTGCTACAGCATGGTGACTGTAGTTAATAATACTGTATTGTACACTTGAACTTTGCTAATAAAGTAGACCTTAAGTATCCTACACACACACACGCGCGCGCGCACACACGATAACTATGGACGGTGACAGATGTATTGATTTATTACATCGTGGTAATCATTACACAATGTATAGTTATCTCAAATCCGCACATGGTATACCTTGAATATAAACCATTTTAATTTATCAATTATACTTCAGTAAAGCTGGGGGGGGGGAGAAAAGCTGAGAAGAATCTTAAAGAATTAAAAATTCATTGGGATTTCCTACATCCTGGTGACAATCTCCAGCCCCTTACTAGTCCTTAGTAAAGAGAGAAATATGGCTACATTTAAATTATTAAATATTCTTATATAACACTATCCTTTCATTTATGTATTATTCATAAAATAAATGATTTTCTAACTGTAAATGTCTATTGTATTGAAATAGCTTACAATGTTTATAATTTAAACTTGACATATTCTTCAGTATCAAATCTAACTATCCAGGAGAAAGCTTTTTAGCATCAGTATTTAAAATATGATAGTGTAAAATACACTCAGCTAGTCATAACTTATTTTATATCAAAAATATATTTAAAAGCTATAAAAAGTCAAAACCATGTCTCTCCTCCTCCAAAAAAAACAAAAACCCTTTTCTGTATTAACTTCTTTTAAACTACCTTTTTAAATCTCTTTCTTCATACCGATTAATATCAGATACAAAGATGTTTGAGGAAAGGGACTTATAAAACAAGTTTAGTAAGAGAAGGAAGGGAGTCAGAGAAGAAAGTAGGGAGAGAGAGAAGAAGGAAGTGAAAGGAAAAGAAGGAAAAAAGAAGAAAAGAAATGAGAAACTACTCACCTTGATGGACCAGGTCCCAGATATCATCAACTTGTTTCTGGGTTGGGAAATGACCACAGTCATTGAAGAACTTAAGGAGCTCACCTCTTTCAATTCCTTGCCAATCTTCTCTCTTAGCAAACATTGTTTCATAGACTAAAAGACCAAAAAGGTAAACAAATATATATAGTTTCTTTACAAATAAATAATATACCAAGTACAAGCCACCCAAAGGGTTCATCTGGATTTGAAGAAACTTTAACTCCAGCTTTACTTTCATGTCTACCAATAAGGCTCCATGACTGCACTAGCACTATGTCAACTCCTGGCGAAGGTCAGAAGGAAATGGACATGCTCCTCCCCCACCACCCCACATTCTGCAGTAGAGAAATCTGGACTTGATTCCCCAAGAAGAACACTCGCATCCTCTATCCTGGTTTCTTGACAATTAACCATAGACCCTACGCATACATCGACACTCAACTCATATCATAAGACATAGCTTTAATGTCAAGATTTCTGGTGGCCTGACTCCTGCTGATCCATTTCAGTGTTCATTATTTATCAGCTCTTCTACTTTTCCTCACCTCTTTTTGGATTCTACACACTTTATAACTATTTGAATTGGTGACTCTGCTTTCAACTGAGTTGACCCCTAATTGGGGGCAATGTCTACTTTTTGCTTGCTAACTTAATGTATTGCTACTTTTTAGTTTAAGGTACTTTGCCATTCCTGGCTCAGGACTAGTGCAGAAAACCACTCAGTCGGGCCAGCTGTCACCTATGTCCCATACTTAACATTAGATAGTAGTCAAATAATGAGCAAGAGAGTTGATGTATACAGTTTATAAGTGTAGTTTTCCATAAACAATTAATTTTTTCTTTTCAAAAAGAGTCTCCACTCTGTAGTGTGTTGGATTAACCCTAAGAAGCTGATTGTTAGCATTTACAGGATGACAGGGACTGCCTAATTAAAGGTTTAGCTCTGAAATATGGGTTCCCAATAACAAAGGACACCAGAGTGGTTTCTAACATAAGTTATATCATCCCAGCACTTAACCATATGGATTTCAATTTTCTATCCATACATTCATTCATTCATTTAGTAAAGGCAGATATTCATGAGACATCAACAAATTCAAGAAATGTTTAGTGATTCCCAAAATATGAGTAGTTTTTCCAGTTCCTGAAACACAGCAGTAAAATAAATAAATGTAAATTCATACTTAATATACCTATGACTTTTTCTCTTTTTTCAAATAAGCAAACTAGAGCAGTTTCTTTTGGTGCCCTGTCCATATGTCCTTGTCCTTACATTTCTGTGCATGCTGACTTTCAATTGCCAATATATCTGCATTCCATTGCGTAAGGGCTCCCTCTGGCTGCAGAACTTCCCTCTACCCACCTGTGCAGCAAGCCAGATGTGCCAGGGAATTAAGACCTCCACTGGAGTGTCCCTCAGCCACTGGAGCTGGTGGATAAAGACCCAGCACTTAAGACAAGTTGGCTACAATGTTTTCTTGAGTTCATTATAGGATTTAACCTCCAGTTGTCCATATCATAATTTCCTTGATAATACACTCTTTTTTGACTTCCATCCCTTCCCTGTCTCACTTCTCCATTCCACTAATAGTATTTCCTGGGATTAACTCCCAAATAAATTAGTTGTACTTGACGTCTTGTCTTAGGGTCTGATTTTAGAGAAACTCCAACTATGACAAAAACAATTTCACCTTTTACTTTTATGTTTAAGTAAATATATTTCTCCTTGAAAAAGTATATATACCTTTATTAGTTTTTCCTTGAATTAATCAATTTTAGATGCTTCTCATAAAATCAGATTGATGCATTTATTAACAATATGGTTTTGTGACTATATTAACAGACAATAATTCCCTTAACCTGTATATTACATCCTATAAGCAAACTTTCAGCAACATACTAGCATAATTAATAATCCAGGCTGATATAATCAGGGTAAATATAAAACAAATCATGAAAATTAATGAAACTTTCTGATCACTAAAAGATGCTCTAAAAGGTAGATATCTGCCAAATATCACCCAATCAGCAATCAAAACATAAAAAGGATGAAAAGTTTTTTAAGGAACATGAAGACAAACAAGAACTTGCAAATTCTGTGGACTCTAGAGATATTTTAACCCTCAATGTAAATGTATACTTTGGCTGGTAATTCTTTATTCATTTAGCTAATTCTGTTCTACTGTGCTTGCTGTTCCTTCTGTAGAACGTTATTCCCCTATAGATCCACCTGGCTCACCCCTCACTTTCTTTAAGACTTTTACTCAAAGAACTTCCCAGCTAGAAATTACCAGAGTCCAGGCTGTAAAACAGAAATCACATTAGTCGTTTGTTTTTTTTTTTTTTTAAACAGAGAGGTTATTCTAAGATGCAAAAATATTGAAAGCTGTAGTTACAAATCATGGGGGAAAAATCATGGAAAGAAAGTAAAGCCAAGAAAAATAAGCAAGATTCTATAAGGTTAAAATGAATTTAGTAACAGTTTTAGGTATGAAGACTGAGTAAAATAGTGGGAGCATTAGAAATGATAAAACTAGCAATAGAAAGGATACATGATTTGGAAGTCAATGGCTAAAAATTAAAGTGGGTGGAAAAGAAAAGGTGGTCAGTGTAATAACTGTAAGGTCCTGGTACATACTAGTACATATTTTCATAAATATTATAAAATTTGTACATCCATGTTACTTAATACAAAACTACTATTCACGAGAGTATTAAGAATATCTTACTGAATTTTATACTAGTGAGTACAGAATTTATGAACAAAAGTCTTAAAATCTGAGTGCACAAGGGTATGATAGTCTCTCTCTCTCTCTAAAGACTAAGTAAAAGGAGTCCCAGCAGCTTCCTAACGAGAGAAGGGTCTTCTCTTTCTCTGCCTTTCTCTCTCATTTGCTTTCTTTTTCTCCCTTCTTCTTCCTCTTTCCATCTCTCTGACACTTTGCTCCTTTCTATTCCTTTCTCAGGAAACCAGGCTGTTGGACTGGGCGAACTGATCCAGCTGAGCCCTCTAACTTATGCGGAATCAATCTCTTTCACACTCTCTCTCTCTCTCTCTCTCTACACACACACACACACACACACTCCCTTTCTGGTGTCTTCCTTCCTCTACCTCTAGCCACAGGAAAGGAATCATTCTAACTCAAAGAGTTCCGGTTATTGGTAAATATCTTTTGGCACAAAATTTTGTCATAACTAATAAGCTTAACAAAAACTATCCTTTTAACAAATATTTTTGAGCCCTTCTGATAAACTAGTCAGATGCTAGACAGTGGGTATTCATTGACAAACATAGCAAGCATAGTCCCTGTCTTAATGGAACTTAGAATCCTAAATGTAAAATTTTATAATTCGCTAAAACTTCCTAAAATGTAGTATTTTTGCCTTATAAAGCAATAAGATGATTCCAATTAAATATAATTTACTTACATCATTTATTTTTTGTTAGTCAAGAAACTGGCTCTAATAATCTACTCTAACGCTAAGCAATATTGAATTGATTAAATAGAAATAGAAATCAGATCTTTGAAAGTTAAGATATAAACTGGGATCCTTGTTCTATGAATAGAATTCTAACACTAACAAGCGATGTGTAGTTTAGTTTGCCGAGCGTCCATTAACTGTTCTTCTGGTACCAACATTTAATTTTCCTTTGGGGAGCTACCCCTCCTCCAATGCATACAGCCTCTGCAACTCTCAAGCAAGATTCCCTACCCATCTACTGCAAAGTGTTGGACTTAAGACTTCAGCTAAATCAATCAGTTGCTCTCTCCCTGGAATTTGGATATAAAGCAAAGGAACAAAAAATCTTTAAGCTATAAGAGCTTATCTATCCCTCAGAGATAAATTGAGATTGTCCCTTATTTCCTGCTCCCGAGATCTCTGGAGCAGTTCTGGTTCACACTCTGTCTGAAATCTGATTCTTTAGCTATCTTTCCAATATTCTCCCTTTAAATTTCCCTTTTACTTTAGTTGGCTAGAATAAGTTTTCTGTTGCTTATAGAGGATCCTAATAAATTAATCCAAATATACAATATACAATATGCAACTTTAAAATGCAAATTGCTTACAGCAATATAAAAATACAGTCTACTTTTGGTTTCTGTGGACAATTATATGTAAAATTTCAATGGTTAAATTAATTCCAAACCTAAATTTGAACCAGAAATGACTGTAACACTTACATTTTTTTCTATCCATCCATTCCTCTAGCTCAGATAAATTTATAATTTGTCTTGTTCTCCAAAGACCAAGTCGATGCCTAACACGGTGGATTATTCTGCGATACATGTTCATAACTGCTCTCAAATTAGGTCCATGATGCAAAACCTATAAAACAGTAATACAGACAGAAGAGCTCTTTATATGTTTCTGCTATTTATATTTAATTTGACTTTGCCCCTTTCATGTAATCTATTTCCCCCAATTTCTGAGATTATGGCTGTATTTATTCTTTATTGCCTAGGTTGGTTAAATACATGCATTGTAGAGTAACATAATTTCCCTGAAGTTCAGAGAGCTTCATTATGATTTGCTTTGTCATCAGCTATTCATACTTCCCCTAGAATAGAGGTTCCAGTGGTGGCTACTCTTACAGACACTTCCTAGGTTGGTGCTCATATTTCTAAAATATATAGCCCAGTAAGCCGGAGAAAAAATAAGTTTTCTTAAGGCATTATTCTGTACTAGATGATTCTTGCCTGAACAGTCCACTCTGGGTGTTCAGAGCTTGTCTTTTCTGTCCTTTGAAAATTGTACATTCATCTCTTTTACCTGTTTTTCACTGGGCTTTTTCAGCTTCTTTGTTGATTTCTAAAATCTCTTTGAATATTAAAGAAATTAACCCTTTCCAGCACACATGCAAAATTTTTTTATTATTTCACCTGTGACTACATTCTTCTCTATCTCTATATGCATTTTTTTACAGTTGATCACAACAGTTTTTTTAAAAATTGAAGTTTTAAAAATTCATCTATTTTCAGGGTTTATTTTTCTCTTTTCTAAACAGCCAGTTCCATTTTACTTATCATTTCAATTATTTTTATATTTTACATTTTCTGGCTCATTAATTTCTGTATTTATCTTTATTAATTCCTTTTTTAAAAAAAATAGGTTTATCTTTCTGTTCTTGATTTTTTGAATTAAAGACTTTCTTTTCTTTTTTTTTTATTTAAGAATGTATTTACATTCATAAATTCTCCTCTGAGTCAGTTTTCCTTTTGTGTGCTTTGCATACCATTTTATAAGTAAAAAACTGAAGCAGAAAATATTTAAATAACTGTTCCAAGGCCCCATAGCTAGTAAGTTGCAGAATTGGTTTTGGACCAGAATAGGGACACTCCATAGCCCACGCTTTTAACTATACTCTATATTTCTTTTAATTTAGTTGAATTTAGAGCTTTTTAGCCATTTCATAAACTTTCCTAGCATATTTCTTTCCTAGCATATTTCTTGTTCTTCCTTCTGTCATGTTATTTTCTGTTTTGTGTGTGATTCTTTGAAGGCCGTTTTTATCATTTTATTTTTCTTCATCTTTGCTTGATTTTGAGTCTCTTCTCTGAAATTTTCAAATACTATACTTAAACCTAATTTTGTAATTTATCAATATTATCAATGAAATGATATTTCTTGTTTGCCTGAATGAGAAATAAATTAGTACAATTTTACTACTCTCCTCTTTTCCTTTTTCCTTCCATCCGATGTCAGATTCTGAATGCTTGCTAATATCTCTCGACAGTTAATAACATCTTCTAATATGTATTTTTAATCCACCTTTTGTTCCATAGGCTGTTGTCCTTTTTAAAAAAAATAATGAATTGATTGTGCTTTTTGAGCATTCCTACCATATGAATCTTACTGGGAAACAGAATTCACTTCCCACAACTTGAAGCCAAAGGTCAGATGCTGAAGACTCACACCTTTTCTGGTGCTAGGATGCAGACATCTGAATTTCATCCACTATTTGCCCCAACCCCAGATTTTGAATGGAAACTAATAATGCTTTTAAAAATGAAACAGTGAGAAATCTATTTGTGTGGTAGAGTAACTGGGGCAGCAATATCCATTTTTCAAAGGCAGCATTCGTGGAGGCAGCAATACCCAGAATTCAGTATCGGCACCAGGCTCTTTCTGTGCAAGATTTGACTGGAGTATGGGTAGCTACCCAGCCTTCATCATTCCTTCATGTTTCTCAACTTAGTTCTCTACACCTCCACCCAATATACTACTCAATATCTTTCTGCTTAAGTCTGTCAGTAGATTTCTTTTGCAAGAGTGAGACCCTATCTCCACAAAAAATAGAAAAATTAGCCAGCATGGTGGCACACTCCTATAATCCCAGCTACTCGGGAGGCTGAGACAGGAGGATCACATGAGCCTAGGAATTTGAGGTTGCAGTGAGCTAAGACAATGCCACTGCACTCCAGCTGGGGTGACAGACCGAGACTGTCTTAAAAAATAATAATAATAATTTATTCAAAAACGTGTTTTAGGCTCCTAATAGTGCCAACAATGTTCTAGACCTTATGAATAGATTAATGAACAGAAAAGACAAAATTCCTGTTTTTAGGCAGTTACATTCTAGTGGAAGGAACAATCATCCATTAAACAAATATATGTTAGGTTGTAGAAAGTGCTATGAAGAACAATAAAGTGCTTTAAGTTGAATACGGAGTGACCACAGCAGGGTTTATTTTAATGGTACAGTGTAGGGCAGCCTAGTGATAATGTGGCAATGAGCAGAGACCTGAATGCACTAAGGAGCCATGCGTCACCTGGGGGAACATCTTTCTCAGTGACATAATGAGAATCATTGCCAAATTGAGCTACTTTCATGGTTGAGGATGTTTTATAATCTTCCTCAGGCATGTTAAAATGAAAAAGACTATAAGAACCACTGACGAATCCCAAATCTTTCTCTATGGCTCAATCTCTTTTCTGAGTTTTGGACCTACATACCCAACTACTTCCCAGACATTTCCAGAATTACCCCAAAGTGTTTCAAACTCAGAGTATTGAAAACTGACTGTACCTCCTTTCCTTTTTTCCCCTCTCTCCTGCCTACTCTTCCCTTTAAATTCTGAATTTCTCAACCATACACCAGGTTGCTCAAGACAAAAACCAAGGAATCAATCATTCTTGACTCTCTCCTGTTCCTTATCTCCAAATCCAGTCAAACTCAAAGTCCTATCAACCGTCCATTTCTCCAACCCTACCTCAAGCCATCACCACCATGCACTCCATTATGAAAAAAGCATACTAGTTGTTCTCCCTCCATTTTGTCACTCTCTCCCCTCCAATTCATTCGTCCATAGTCAGTAATTTTTCAAAAATACAAATCTAATCATATCACTGATCTACCTTAACATCATCCATTCTCATACACTTAAACTCCTTAGTGTGGCTTCTAAGAACATTCTTAATCTGATTCCTACATTCAACTTCCTCCACTGCCATTGTCTTCCTACCTATCCCTAAGTCCCCTGAACATTCTATCTCACCTAAGGCTATTGATAATGTCCTTTCTGTGCCTATCAGTCTCCCAGTCTATTTGGCAAAATATAGCAACCCCTCATCCTCCAGATCTCAGTTTATTGTCACTGTACAACCACCATACCAGTCATAGCCCTAGGAGTTAAGTGGCCTTTCTAAGTGCTGTAACAGTACCTATGACTTCTTAGTTGTCTGCATTTCTCACCTGACTATATGCTCTATGTGATCATACACCAGGCAGGAAATTAGACTAAGTATATAGTAATTATTATCAATTTTAAACATATACATGTATGCAAACATATGTAGTTGAATAGATGAACATAATTCTCCAGGTACCTGACAGCTAACACATTTACATAATAAAACTGTTCTATACAAGGTTACCTGTGCTATGGGGTCCATGAATAGGCTTCAGGATTTTGTTATTGTTTCTGTTTTGTTCTTTTAAGATAATGATACAAAATTCACATTTTATCAAATTTTCAAAGAATTCTGTAACCCCCAAAATATTAAAGACCATTGAGCTATGCATAGGATATTGCTATGGTAACATTAAAACTCAGATTTTCCAGGATTATTCCAAATTAATTAATATTTCTGTAACAAATATTTACTTAAAGCCAATTTCAAATATTTTTTCTTATGACAACCATAAGCCATTTAAATATCATGGAATTTCAGTATTTTTGGCCAATAGCAACTGAATATATTAATTTAGGATTAAAATTTTTAAATTAAATTATAAATATTCAGAGGAAAATACTGATATTAAGCAAAATTTTAGAATCATTACATTGAGGGAAAACAATGTTTTTGTGTCTTGATGATTTTTTATATCATTATTACTTATATCAAAACACACATAAACAAACAACACAGAGATTTTTAAAGGAAAAGCACATTCTGAATGGTAGAAATAATGTTGATAATAAAATATAGCAATCTCTTAGGTCTCCTGATGTATGAATGATAAGATAATTCACTGCTATTTCATTATTTCCAAATAAACTCAAAGTAAGAGCATATCACAGGAAATGGTGGAAATTGTACAGTCCCTTGAGAAATCTTAAAGTGACATTCCAACAGACACTGTCCACAGCAACAAGCTCTGAAGTGCCAGTCAAGCTATATGACTATAGAAGTTTCCCAGTGGAGAAATTGCCACAGTGGTGACAATTATCCAGTGATTTGCTGTGCAGCCTCTAGAGCAGAAAGTCTATCAAGAATTCCCCCAGCAGCAACCCTTCACATAGGCACAGTCCTGGAAATTTATACTTATTGCATTACGGGCCATTCCCACTAGCATGTCAACAGTAGGCAAAACAACTTTAACCATATCAACAAAGCAGCCATCCAACACACAAAACACAATGCCAATGAAGGAATAAAAAAGAAAATCAATGATCATAACAAATTTTATAACCAAATAAAAGTCAACAATCTAGTTTATATTGGCTCTGATACTTTAAAAGTACTTCCCATTCTTTTAATCTCAAATTTTACCTCCAGAGAAATGCAGCATTTTTCTTATCAATCTCTCCTTTCATCCTTATTTTAGGCCCATTCTTTCTCTCTACATTTTCTAGATCCATTTTTTGTCCCAGAGTTTACAAATGACTCTACAATTCTCTCTATAGCAAGAAATACTATAATTCAATTATATAATACACATCAAACATATGTAGACAGAACTTAAAGTGCCTTGATAAACTTTTACAATTATATTTTGTTGAATTAATTCATCCATTCAAAAGATATTTATTGAGTACCTACCATATGCTAAGCACTATCCTAGGCATTTGAATACAATAGCAAACAAGACAGATTCCTGTCCT